GTTTGAACATCACACCCTGACAAATACCAGTTATGAGCAGTCAAGTGACATAGTTATTTTTTAAACTCATTCTTAAAAATAACAAAAAAAAAGAAAAAAGAAGACTGTAAAGAAAAAGAAGAACATTTAGTCTTACAAAAGGGGCTATAAATTTGTGTTATTAACTCCACAATTAAACAGAGGAGACGTTTTTTTTTAACAGATTATAAATTGGGATGGGGGGAATCAAATTCAACCCTAAGGGACAGAGGATGCATATATTAGAGGTGACAAAGCTATTAAGCCGAGAAGGCCAAATGCAACAGAGGAGAGCATTTTAGCAAAGAAGTTGCAGAATTACATGTTCTTTCATCTCATTGTGTCTGGACCTAAGAAGCAATTGGAATTGGTGGGTTAAGAGCATGTTTGGTGAAGATTGTTAGAGTTTTTTTTTTTTTTTTTTTTCGTATTATTTAAGATCTTTTTAAAGTTAAAAAAAAAAAATAATATAAATTTTTAAAAAGAAAATTTAAATTTATAAAATATAAATAATATCAAAAAATTAAAATTTTTATAAATTTCACTAAATATATTCTAAACCATAAAAAAGGCCCCGAAGGGCCTTCTAGCTTTTCCCCTTTATCGTTCTCAATGGAGTTGAACTAGCCCAGCTATCTTACAAAATAAAAGGTTTGAATTGAGGTGGCCCACAAACTTATTGGATCTGATTAGATAAATTCTAGGCCTAGGCAAAGCAAACGTAGCACGATAATTAAGAATGTTTCTCGGGCCGAAGTTACAAAATTGAGCCTTTCATTTGTTGCACGGAGGACTTGAGTAGTGGGTCTTAATGGTAGTGTGATTGGTCTAGGCTTCTTAATCCCAGTATGCATTATCTGCCTTTAATTAGGTCAGTCTTTAATCGTTCTATGACAGAAGTTTATCTTTTTATGATAAAAGAATAAGAAAAATTATTATGCAATTTAAATTATATTAAATTATAAAAAAAAATTATTTAATAAATAGTGAGTCTTTTAATATTACGGTCTTCTTTCCATCAAACTATTATTATTTTACCGTTTTAATCATTCCAAACTATAAAACAAAAAATCCAAAGAAATAAACCTTACATTTCTCAAGCATATCGGACATCCACTTTAAGATTTAAACTTATTAATCTTCTATTTCGAGCTTCAAGGTCTTATCAACAATGGGCAAAACCATAAGTTAAGCTCCTGAACTAACCCTAGAATCGCTATTAAGCCCCTAGACTTTAATTGATGCATAGAAGCCCTTGAACTCTGCTATCAAAGCAATTAAGCCCTCCTTCTTACCATAAGTTAAGAAAAAATACAAATGGCAGTTAAAGTTGGCGTAAGAAGAAGGGCTTAATTGCTTTGATAGCAGAGTTCAAGGGCTTATATGTATCAATTAAAGTTTAGGGGCTTAATAGCTATTCTGGGGTTAGTTCAGGGGCTTAACTTATGGTTTTGCCTCAACAATGCACCTTACAATTTTTTTTTTTTTAGAGATTAAAGAGGCAAAAATCATTATCCAAACTAATTAAAATTGCTGTTAAAAAAAACCTGCAAAATCATGTCCCATTAATCTCTGATTCTGATCTAAATTAATGGTCTTTTCATTTTTGCATGTGTGGTGTTGGATGATCAGATGACTCTATGGCTTTATTTTTTTTTTTTTAATTTGAACAATAGAAGACTCTATGGTGTTAATTAATGGTGTGAGTAATATACAATCAATGGTTCAATCCCATTGTCATCCAACCTTGCAAACCATGCGACGACACGAAAGCTCCGTTTCTAAGCATACTCAAAACTCCATCCATGCTGTCTGTCGGCACACATTTAGGCTTTGTTAGATAATCCACACAAAATTATTATTCTAGTTACTACTTTTATATTTGTAATCTCACTTGATCTTTGATTTGATTTAAGTTAGAATTAATTTTATAAGAACTGTGTATAAATACATTCTGTACTATCTTGTAAGGGCAATGATACAGTGGACGAATAAAGAGGACGAAATTATGGGACAAATGACATGGCAAGCCATGTCATTAATATATAAATTTTTAAAAAATTTAAATCAAATAATTTTGCTAACGTGACGTACCATTTCATAGTCGTCCCGTCAAATCATCCCCTTTTTTCGTCTTTCTCATCATTATTCATCTTGTAATTAACGCATTTATTTTGATATCTTTGATGCCTTTCAAGAATATGTGCACATGTTGAGTGTTACATAGATCCAAATTCACAAGAAATCCTCTTGTCTTAGTATTAAATGAAGATTTATCTTTATACTAAGATTGGAGAATAATTTCTCATGAACTAATTTTCATTCTGGATTTATAGTTATATATATATATCTAATGATAATATGTATAAAAAATATATAATTTTTTATATTTTTTAAATTTATTCTCATTTGACTTAAAATTTGAATTTAAAAATTTTAAATTAAAATTTAAAATTCTTATCCAGCTCAATTACCTTTAAAGGCGAATTTATAGTATGTTTTTGGACATGCGTGATTAATTAGACAAGTGCAAACTAATGATGTAAATAGTTTAATCATAATTTTCTTTTAACAAAAGCAAAAGATATTGAATTTAAGTTGCATATGAGTTAAGGGTAGAGAGAAAATTGTATTTTATTATACAATATTTTAAAAGAATAATAATAATTAAAAAAAAAAAAATATTGAATTTAAGTTGCATATGAGTTAAGGGTAGAGAGAAAATTTTATTTTATTATACAATATTTTAAAAGAATAATAATAATTAAAAAAAAAGAAAAAAAGACAAGTGCCATGAATGTGGTATGTGTAAATTAATATTGAATGGTCCAAGAAATTAATAATACAATGGGCATGATTATATTTATAGGGGTGTTTATGGTTTCGTTCAGTTTGGTTTTTAGACATTTAGTCACCCAAACCTATCAATAATCACGTCGATTGGATAATTCAAGCATTTCAGGTTTTAGCAAATAAAGGAGTTCTTTGTACTCATAGCTAATAAAAGTTGCACCCGCTGATTCAACACTCAACGAGACACATTCTATTAAACTAGTGGTTTGAAATGAAATGGAGAAATACTTGTCCCACAACCGTTCATCTAGCCATGACCTACTTCCGTTTTCAAACCGCCAATGACAAGTAGTCTTGCCCTCATCTACAAATGGTGATATCACCATCTCCTCTTTTGTGTATTTCATTTGTTGTTTATGCAGTTGCGTTTGCTTGAGGGATGGAGAAGCAAATCTGTCAAAGCGCTTTTTAGAGATTTGCGCTTTCAAATTGAAACAAAATTGAGTTGGTCCTCCACAAGCCTTTAATCATAACTTGGAATAACAATTCCAAACCCACAACATTTGAGAAAAACACAGTGCAAAGCAATCAAAATTAGGAGGTTTTGAGTAAAGTCAACATTAATAAACCATAGATCTAGAACGAACTTAGCATCCTTCACTTATTCAAAATAGACAGAAGGAAAGGGGCTCTACTTGAAATACAATGAGTTCATGTGCTAGATTAGATTTGGGTTTGCGAGGAACCCAAATCTATCCCGAACCCAAATCATCTAGGTTTGTGTAAACACAGCACTGTGTTCGCATAAACCTAGTCACGGCAAGGGAGGGGGAAGAGAAATGTAGCCGAAAATGGGTAGAAGAAAGGTATTGGTAAAGTGTTGGGTTCATGGGGAAGAAGATGAACAGGGGAAGCACCTCTTTCTACTCTGTTGGGTAACGAGAATAGACAATGTCTATGGATTCGTGTGAGAAATGTAGTCAAAAATGGGTAGAAGAAAGGTATTGGAAAAGTGCAGGGTTCATGGGGAAGAAGATGAATAGGGAAGGCACCTATTTTCAATCTGTTTGGTAAAAGGTGAGGATAACTTCTAAACAGCTGCCAAACAATATTAAATCATTTATTTACAATTGAAGCAAAAGGGTGCACTTGGGTTGGGTGTGTTGGTTTTGAGTGTACCCATGTTATTTTCCTAAAGGTTTTCAAATTGACAAATAAAAATATATGAGTTGGATTATTTAATAACAAGATATATAACAACGTTACTTCGACAAAAACATGGACTTTCTTCTGCTACTTCCAAATAGGACCTTACCGGCAGGGACACCTTTCAGTCAGTGCAAACCCGTTTTCCATTGTACAAGAAAAACAACATCAATTAAGCTAAATAATGCCCATTTATGTAGAAGTTAAATTGTAGTACTAATATATGTATAATCTTAAATGAGATAGCAATTTATTTTAAAGGAAGACGGTATAAAGACAATTTTTTTTACTATATTTTTATATAATTTTATATAATTTTATATAAATTTTACATGTTATTAAATAAATAGATACGTTTAATATTACGGATTTTAAATAAATAAAAAGAGTTAATAATTTAAATGACACATAAAATTATAGTAAAAGGTGATACAAAATGTTGTCCTTAAATCATTTTTCTATCTTCAAATTACTTCTATTTCAAAATATATAATTATTATTGAGTTCAAAATTTATCCTAAAAAATTGTCTTTTTTTCATTTTTTAACAGAAATATTTTTTGTCCTATTTTAACTACTATTGTTGTTTCTTAATTTTAATCATCCAAGTTATCTCCAAAATTTTTTACAATTCGTAATTCTTTCCATAAGAATAATATAAATTATATAGATTATCTCTAAATTTGTATTTTATTGAATAAATTAAAAAAAAAGTATTTTAAGATGAAAGGAGTATAAATTATATAGCTTGTACCTTGCCAAACTTAATTAATTCAAATACTTCCACCTTATAATTTTCATAATCTAAGCAAGTATAGGACAACATTAGAGGGTATAACATTTCTTTTGGATGAGTACATAACATTTGAGTTAATTATTTTGGACTACAAGATAGACGTGTAATGTATGCAATAAAAATAATTTAATGTCAGTCCAAACCCCTTAACATTACTATAAATATCTTTCAGATTTGTTGTTACCCTTTAATCCAAATTATTTAATCCTTAACATCGATAAACTAAGATGCTTAAGCTTCTATCTTTCAATCTTCTCTTCGTCTTCTGCTTCACCGGCCTCTTCACGTTGTCAGACGCAGCATTAACATACAATGTGCTCAGTTATGGTGCAAGGGGAGACGGTAATACCGACTCGACGCAAGCGTTTCTACGGGCATGGTCGTCGGCATGCTCTTCGAGAAGTTCGGCTATCGTATACGTGCCATGGGGAACTTTCTTGATAAAACCAATCGCCTTCAACGGTCCATGTAAGAGCCAAATTGTGTTTCGGATAGCCGGAAAAATTGTGGCACCGTGGGATTATCGGACCTTGGGTAGCGCCGGTTATTGGATCCTCTTCTACAAGGTCAACAACCTCCACATCTCTGGCGGTACCTTTGATGCAAGAGGTTCCGCATTCTGGTATTGTCGGCAATCCGGTGAAAGTTGCCCACCTGGAGTTATGGTGAGTAATTGACCACACATACAGAAGTTGTTAGTACTTAATTATTGCACATACGTTAGAGATTTCAAATTTATACCTTAAAATCAACGATTTGTTAGTCCGAATAGAAAGAACTCGATTTTTTTAAGATTTCGAGTTCAAGTATTATAAATGAAGAGATAAATGAAGAGATAAATACTGAGAGAGTTTCCCTTTAATGAAATCTGATGTTACTCGATTTTGAATTAGTCGAAATTTAATAGTATCAAAAAAAATTTTATACCTTAAAATGGGCAAGAAGAAGTTGAGGAAAAAAAGAGTTTTTTTAATCATATAACTCATTATCTGATCTACCAAAATATATATCAACTAACACAGTTTATAAATTTGATGCAGTCGATATCGTTTACTGTGTGCAACAACGTTGCAGTGAGTGGATTGACGTCGCTCAACAGCCAGTTATTCCACATCGCAGTGGATCAATGCAACAATATTATCTTCCACAATACAAAGATAAATGCCCCCAGCTGGAGCCTTAACACCGATGGTATCCACGTACAGTCTTCGACCTTTGTTACCATATTCCGAGGCAACATTCAGACTGGAGACGACTGCATATCAATTGGGCCAGGCTCCAAACACATCTGGGTAGAGCGCATTGCCTGTGGCCCTGGACATGGAATCAGGTAATTAATGAACTCTTGACGTGCACAATTATACGTTAACTTGAAAGGCATAAATATTACTAAACAAAAAAGTGTTTTTGTAACATAAATTATAACAGACTATATAATATAAATTGTTGAATAAGAGTGAGTTGTTAATATTGAAAATTGGTCATCATTCAATGATTTTAATTTTACCGTCTGAACTGCAAAACAAACGATTTATCGTCAGATCGTGAACTTAGTTTATGTAATTAATTTATATATGTACAGTGTGGGAAGTCTTGCGGAATCTACCAATGAAGATGGAGTCCAAAACATCACCGTTACCGGCTGCATCTTGACCGGAACGGAGAACGGTGTACGGATAAAAACGTGGGCCAGGTCCAGCAACGGGTTCGCCAGAAATATAAACTTCAGGAACATCATCGTGAAAAATGTGTATAACCCCATCATCATTGACCAAAATTATTGCCCCAGTAACAAAAATTGTCCTAATCAGGTAATTAAAAAAATTACTACTATAAATTTCTGAATTTTAACAAAATTAGCAATAATAATTTAGAAAAAAATTAATTGGTTTGATTGCAGAGTTCTGGGGTGAAAATTAGAGAAGTGAAATTTTCGAACATAAGGGGAACATCAGCATCGCAGGTGGTAATGAATTTTGTGTGCAGTCCAAGCAATCCATGCCAGGGGATACATGTGCAGGACATTCGACTAAGTTATGTCAACGGATATGCAAAGTCGTATTGTAAGAATGCTGTTGGAAGCCATAGCGGTGTGGTGGTGCCCTACAGTTGTTTGTGAATTGTCATGAACATAATTAAAATCATTTTAGTATTATT